CTTGTGCCATCCCCATGATCAGTTGTGGATAGGACCATTGTGATTCATAGGGTTTTCACTGGCTGATTTTCAAAACAAGATTGCCAGGCCTTTCTTCCTAGTCCATCTTAATCCGGAAGCTCTGGTGGCTGCGCATGAGGTGCGTAGGCTGGGAATCAAACCCAGGTCTCCTTCATGGAAGTCAAGAATTGAGCAGTGAACCACCAATGCCCCTGATAAAAAGTTGCCTTAGCAAAAATGGAACTGGAAAGAACTTCACACCAAGAATTCACCTGGTATGAATCTATATTTATTTCCATTACTTAAAAAACAAAGACCGTGAAACAAGAAAAGTGAGAGAACTTTCACAGTCATCTTCTATTATTACTTCCTCTGAAAATCTCCTTCTTCCAAAAGTATATCTTCTTCTAATGGCATGAAAAACCTTTTATAAAAAATCTGTTTTCATATGGTGCACTTTGAAGAAATTTTTTCTAGGGCTAGAATTTCTCATACTTACTGATATGACTATTTTGGCGGAAAATTTGAAGACTGTCTCTTCAAGTTGTGTTCAGTAATTTAAGGGCTTAAGCCATGTATCTCTTGGTTTTATCTAGGATGGGATAATTCTGAAATGTTTTGTATGAAACAGTCATTTTGGTATTTTCCAAAGCCGTTTGTAACAGAAGTTTAGTAAGTGCCTGTGCCATTTCCTCTCCTTAAGATATTTAAGAATGTGACAAGCAGAGATTTTAAAGGGTCATCAGGTCAGATAGCAGGTGGACAGCTTAAGTCCCATTTGTGGGGTCCTCCCTGAGTCACTGCCTTGCATTCATTGCTCCTCACATTGTCATCCTGACAGGTCAAATAATAAGCATGTCACTAATAGTTTTTGAGTTCTGATTGTGTGCTAGGCACTTTTGGGTTCCATACCTAAATTGCCTCATTTGACCCTCACAACAATTTTATATGGTAGTGACCATTATTTTCTTTATTTTTAAGTCGCTCAAGGTCACCAGCCAGTGGGTGGCAGAGCCAGGGAAAGGACTTGAATCCAGGCCTAACTCCAAACTCTTACCTGTTAGGGTTGTTGAGAAAGTAAATGAGACAATACAGGAAAAGTTGTTAGCACAGTGCTTAGAGCATAATAAACACCAATAAATGCCAGGAATTATTACAGTAAAAACTGAGAGCCAGAACTGGACGGACTGCTTTGTTTTTTCAGGTCTTGCAAGTTTTCACTCTTTGACAGGATGCAGGCACCACTTTATTTTTTATCATTCTCTATTTAGTGGAAAATATTTGAGTTTTCCTTCTCTGACAGGTTTCCGCCTTACTGAGTTAATTTTGGCTTTTGCAGGTTTTACTGTGTTCTTTCCGATAGGATGAATCTAGGGAAGTGACAAGGAAGTTGAATAATCATCCAAGGCCACAAAGCCAGTAAGTGGCAAAGGCAAGATGGAAACCCAGAAGGCCTGTCGCAAGTGTCTGTGCTCTGAACAGCTATTCCTAACTGCTTCTTTAAGGATCCTCAGCAGTGCATGGTGACTGGTGTGTTTACACCATACTTAACATATAATAAACATAAAAAATACCAGGCAAACAAGGATAGAAAAGGCAGTACAGCTCATATAAAGATGAAAGATGCCCTTATTTTATATGAGCAATGAAATTCTACAGAGTTATACTAACCGGCCTTGGACAAAGCTGGGAAGTAAAAACCTTGAACTTGGGATGCTTTTCCAAGCTTGCTCTCAGTGCTTCTTCCCTCATTCTCTCCAGGTGATTAACGTCTCCTTTCAGTTCTGCCTACTGGTCGCTGCTTTTGCCTCCCCAGGCTGCAGGATTCACACGTGTCCCACCTCTTCAGAGCCCTCCCCACCCTGTTTGACAAGGATGAGTATCTGGTGGAGCGTTAGTTGGCCAATGTGTAATTATCTCTCTTGAGCAGCAAAAGTTTTTAGCCAATTAAATGGGCCATAAGGAAAAATTCATCATGTTGACAATTTAGAGAACGTTTCTGGTCAGGGGAGACTTCCCTGGTACTGATGGGCCCTGCCCTTCGAGGATGCTAAGCCCATCACCGTGGTCCCAGTGACTTCAGGAAAAAAGTAGGGCAGAGAAAGCATACTTTAGAAGTTTTTGAAAGTAGCATCCAAGAGAGCCTCTGGTATTTTATCAGAAACCAACATGGGTATTTCTAAATACTGCCTTCAATGGTAGGTGGTTATTGTCATGCCCAGAGTAAGGGTGCCATGTGTGTTATAATTGGAAAGTCCATTGCCGCTTCCTTCCAGAATATTTCCTCACATCCCTAACACATTCTACTACAGAGATCACACTGTGAGACTTGCTGGCATTGTCAAAGCCCTAGAAGACACTTAACAATTCCTGTGTGGGTAGAAAATCCTCTGTTGACCTTCAACTGAACAAGGGCCCAGGGCCTCAGAGCTGGAGCAGCTCACGTGGCCACGGGACAGACAATAGCCAGAAGCCGCCGCAGCCCCAGCGAGTATTGCCAGCATCATCGGTCGGGGAAGGAAAGCTGTTGACAATTTTATTACTTTCATCCGACACTGAGGTACAGATTTCCTCTAATTTTTTTTTTTTTTGAGAAACACACACAAAAAAGGAAGCATAATTTCTCAATAAAGAAAGCCCTTAAATAGGAGGCTTGTAGAGAACATTGCCTTTTTCCAACTTGTTTCACATGCAGCCTCCCTCCTGGAAAGAGGCATACAGACCTCACATTGCTTTCAAGTAAGAAAAAAAATCTCCTGTAAAAAATTATCTTTAAACATCTTGAAACTGTGCAAGTGCAAAGAAGGCAGCAATTAAGTAAATCACAGGAAATTTCCAAGATAGAAAGGTTATAATTAACGTGGTCTACAGGAATAGAGCCATTAGCTCTGTCTGGGAGAATAAATCTCACCAAACGCCCTTTATCACAACCCGTATCCTTACGTTAACGCAACGAATGCCGCAGCGCACGGTACAGGCTGCAGCGCGAGACACTGGCCAGGACGTAGGCCAGCTCTTTCCATTTCCCTTTCCAAATAATTTGAACCACTATATTTTGGCCTAAATATATTGCATTATATATTTTATTCATTTTATTTTAGCATTAAAAATTAAATTATTTTAAATGATAATATTAAAAGTTGAATTTTACGGAGTGGGTTGATGAAAATATCAGTCAAAACACCGTTAACATTTACCGAGCTTTACTACGTGCAGGCACGTTAGGCACGTTACCCGTGTTGTTGCGTTTATGATCTTCACAATAGCCCCAGAGTTTACAATTATTATCTCTACTTTATAAATGAGGAAACTAAGGAGAATAGAGGGTAAGAATCTTAACCAAGTCACACACTAAGTGGAAGAGACAGTAAAGGAACGCAATCCTAACACCCAAGTCCATTTTATAATCAACATTGGAGCCCTGATGGCTTAGTTGTTAAGGGTGACAGCTGCTAACCAAAAGGTCGGCAGTTTGAATCCACCAGCCGCTCCTTGGAAACCCTATGGGGCAGTTCTACTCTGTTCTATAAGGTCACTATGAGTTGGAACCAACTCCACGGCCCCTAAAAACAATGACATGCTATCCCACACTGGGAGGAGAAATAGAATTTGTACCCTAGCCCAGTGTGCCACAGTGCTGAAAATTCTTTTACTTCATATTATTTCATAAAAATTAGTTCACATATTTGGTAAGAGTTCTGCTTAATAATATTTGACTCCAGTTGTATCTATGTGACTGTAACTATCTGATGGAAAATGAAAAATGTGGTCGGCCATCAAATCCTCCAAGCACAAAAGTGCTTAGTTGACTAAAGACAATTTTTACTTTACACCTGGTTGTGTGGGGTCCCGGCATCATGGAGACAAACTCTAGAGCATACAGTTCCAGAACCGAAGATGACATTCCACAGGACCTCAGTGACCACGTTTTCAAGTTTAAAAGCTCAGCACACAAAACCAGTTGGCACAATAAACCGGTTGCTGTTGAGTCGACTCTTGATTTGTGTCAACCCCATGTGTGTCAGAGTAGAAAACTGTTCTCCACGTTTTCAATGGCTAATTTTTTGGAAGTAGATCACCAGGGCTTTCTTCTGAGGCACCTCTGGGTGGACTTGAACTTCCAACCTTTCAGTTAGCAGCAGAGTGTATTAATCATGTGCACCACCCAAGGACTCCTATAGCACAATAAGGCAGGATATTTGAAACCTGAACTCACTGAGAAAACCACACACTTCTGCTAGCCATTCATAGGCTTCCCCCTTCACAATATGTGGGTCCCTGGGTCCGTGTAGGGAAGCGAGTGACCGCACTGTGAAGAAGTTGTGTTGTTTGCCTGCATAAATCTCTACAGGGTAAACAAACGTTAGCTAAGCCAGAGCCCCAGCTGCTTCCTATTTACTTCATAGGAAACAACATCCAAGGAGGAATCATTCATTTTCAGCAGAATAGGAGCAATGACAGAATGCTTCCTTCTGTATTTCTCAGTATTTCCTCGTTCAGTGTTTTCAAAACACACATCCCACTGAAACAAGTGTTTAGAGACAACAAAATCAGAGAGTAACCATGGAGCTAGGTATAACCCTGGATATCCAGCACCATCCAACCCAGCTGAGCACACAACTCTGTCCTGGACTCAGTTTGGAAAGAACAAGCTACTTTTCACCCTGAGTGTGGCAGCTAGAGCATTTTTGCTGGTTGTAGTGATAGATTTGCACGTAATGATGTATAACACGTGTGCCGTTCGCTTTCCTCACCATCACCACACCTTTTAGGAAGATCACCAAGCTGTGGGCAAAGTGCCACTATTCAGGCAGGTGAGTACCATGCTTTAATTTGTTTATGCCCTCTAACACCTTCAGTGAGCAAATCTAACGGCCTGGTTTCGTCTACCATTATCACTTGGCATGAACATCACAGTCTACTGAGCTCAGCAAAAGAAAGCATTGCCTCCAACACTCCCTGAGAAATAAATCCAGAAATAATCTAAGCAGGTGTCTTACCGTGGATACTCCAGATGCCCAGATAAGGGATTAGGAAGAGGACCCAAAGCAATTTCCCAATTCCAAGCATTCGTCGCAATGTCTTCATTTTGTGTGGCTATGAAGGATGGAAAAAATTCTCAAGTAGAAGGCTTCTCTCCCTCCCCTGAGTTCTTCAGGGTTGAATCAGGTTACCTATCCCAGCAGCATCTGAGAAATAGAAGAGATAGGAGGTGGGAGAGGACAGTAAGAAGAGCCCAAATGATTTTGTGAAACAAAGTGAACAGAAAGACAATGTGACGCTCTGTTCTGTGGTTTTGCTTCTCGTCAAATCGACTGCTTATTTCAAAAGCTCTGATCTGCAAAGCAGCTCCATCCTTAAGTTCTCCTTCCGCTCTACCTCCTCTTTTGCCTCACCTTGAGGTTTTTCTCATTCAAAGTTGAGTGAAATGAACAATTAAACTTGAAAGAAATCTATATTGTTGCAATCTTTAGGTTGAGATTTTAATCAAACCAAGGGCAGGAAATTCATGTTAAAAGTCCCTCTGGTAAATATCCTCTCTCCCCACTTTTCATAGCCTGTGATTTTGAAACTTCTTTTATGTGAAAGGTTTTAGACTTTTTCCCCCAAACATCATGTTATTGTAAGATGATAATGCTTGTTGCCATTCAATCAGTGGAGGCTTATCTGAGGTTATGGAGAAAATGAGTGACAGGAAGTGCTTTCTCGGCAGAAGAGAGAAGGACAACCTGTAGATCATTATCAGTGGAACAAGATCATTGCTAGTATTGGCTACGTTTTCTGAGCCGAATGGCATCTTGAGTATCAATTAAATGAAACTTGCATTTTCAACATTCTTCCTGCAGTTGCTGTCTGGATTAAGTAGATTCAAAAGAGGAATGGAAAAAATGAAATTGTTCCAGATGAGATAGCTTAGGGTCATCCTGTAACCATTTTCTCCAAGGCCATTTGTAAAAATTAGATTATTTAATAACCACAGCAACTAATCAGATTTGCCCAGCATTTACAATCCAGGTGGGAGATCAGATTTGTGGCATTTGTGGTCATGGACAGAAAGTTGATTTTGTAAGTATTTCCCTCAGAGGTTGGTGACTTTCTTCCAAGGCCAGAATTCAATGGTTATAAGTGCATAAGGTTAGAAAACAGCTATCATGCATACATTGATTCAAAGAGACAATGCACTATGGTTGGAGATACAAAGATGAATAAGTCACTGTCCCTGATTCTAAACAGTGCATAGTCCAGCGGTATTGTAATTTCCTCACATCAGCCTTTAGTATTGGCACTTAACTACTCAATCATTTCAACCATACACAGTGTAATATAGAGCGACTCTACATATCTTCTTATGAGCTTCCATTCCTGGTCAAATAAACATCTTCTTTCTGGGAAATATCTATACACAACTCCTTTCTTTTCCCCTGCTCAAGATGGAGCACAAACTTCCTATGGCTGCTGAGACAGGGCTCACTGTCCCTTTATAGTGGTCCCAGAGGTCAGAAGCTATAAACCATAGGCCAGAGAGTCCAGACTATTGTCCCAAACCTGAAAGAAGCCGTAATAAATTTGTTTATCTCAGCATAAAACTTTATGATTCACTACTTTAAAGATTTTTGCATATAAAAAGTCTACGTTAATTAGATAACATTTGGGTGGGGGATACCTGTGTAACATCTAATGTGTGTGTTGTGAGTCCCTGGGTGGTACAAAGAGGTAATGCACCCAGAGGCTAAACAAAAGGTTGGAAATTTTAGTCCATCCAGCAGTGCCTCAGAAGAAAATCCTGGCAATCTACTTCAGAAAGATTAGCCATTGAAAACCCTGTGGAGCGCTTGAAGTCATCTTTAAACCAAACAATAGTTTAGCTTAGTTAGTAAGGAATGTTTGCCTTAAGTATTTTGCTCTTTTAAAGAACTATCATATGGGATCAAATTGACAACAGCAACTTGAAAGGTTAGACGGGAAGCTTAGGAGATAGTCAGTTTATGTTAATGGTGGTAGAATAATTTGGAAAAGAATAATGAGAGTGGTTGTACAACTTGAAGAATGTAATCAATATCACTCAACAGTACATGCAGAAATTATTGAATTGGTATATGCTTTTACTGTGTGTACTTTTACCACACACACACACACACACACACAAACCCTATGGAGCACCATTCTACTCTGACACAAAAGGGGCACCATGAGCCAGAGTCAACTCTATACAACAATTGTTTTCTTTGTTTTTTGCTGTGTGTATTTTCTTAAGAGATACATTTTGTTACCTTTATCAGCATACCAGGCTCTCTTACCCCTCCTTAGCTAGAATCAGTGAGAAAGACAAACTCCTTATAAAAATTCTCAGCACAATAAGAATAGAAGGGAAATTCCTAAGCATAATAAAGGGCATCTATACAAAACCAACAGCCAACATCATTCTCAATGGAGAGAAGCTAAAAACATTCCCCCTGAAAACGAGAACAAGATAAGGATGCACTTTATTACCACTCCTATTTAACATTGTGCTAGAAATCCTAGCTAGAACAATAAGGAAGAAAAATAAATAAATAAAGAGAGTCCAAATTGGTAAAGAAGAAGTAAAACTATCCCTATTCATAGATGATATTATAGTATACATAGAGAACCCTAAAGTCTCCACAAGAAAACTACTGGAACTAACAGAAAGATTCAGTAGATTAGCAGGATACAAGATAAACATACAAAAATAAGTTGGAGTCCTATACACCAATAAAGATAACTATGAAAGACAAATCAGGAAAGCAATACCATTTATAACAGCCCCTAAAAAAAGTAAAATATGTAGAAATAAATCTAACCAGGGACATAAAAGACCTATATAAAGAAAATTATAAAATGCTACTGCAAGAAACCCAAAAAGATCTACATAAATGGAAAAACATACCATGCTCATGGATAAGTAGACTTAACATTGTGAAAATATCAATTCTACCAAAAGCACTCTATAAATAGAATGCAATCCCAATCCAAATGCCAACAGCATTATTTAAAGAGATGGAAAACTAATCAACTTTATATAGAAAGGAAAGAGGCCCTGGATAAGTAAAACATTATTGAAAAAGAAGAACAAAGTAGGACGCCTCATATTACCTGACCTCAGAACCTATTAGGTAGCTACAGTAGTCAAAACAGCCTGGTACTGGTACAACAGACACCTTGATCAATGGAACACAATCGAGAACCCAGATGAAAATCCATTCACCTACAGTCACCTGATCTTTGCAAGGGCCTACAGTCCATTAAATGGGGGAAAAGACAGTCTTTTTAACAAATGGTGCTGGCAAAACTGGACGTCTATCTGTAAAAAAACGAAACAGGGCCCATACCTCACACCATACAAAAAAACTAATTCAAAATGGATCAAAGACCTAAATATAAAACCAAAAACTATAAAGATCATGGAAAAAAAATAAGGTTAATGCTAGGGGCCCTAATATATAGTATAAATAGGATACAAACCATAACTAACAATACACAAACACCCGAAGATAAGCTAGATAACTGGGATCTTCTAAAAATTAAACTGCTATGCTCCTCAAAAGACTTCACCAGAAGAGTAAAAAGAGAATCTACAGACTGGGAGAAAATTTTTGGCTATGACAAATCCCACAAAGTTCTAACTTCTAAAATCTACAGGAAAATCCAACACTTCTACAACAAAAAGACAAATAATCTGATTAAAAAATGGGCAAAGGATATGAACAGACACTTCAGCAAAAACTACATTCAAGCAGCCAACAGACACATGAGGAAATGCTCGAGATCACTAGCCTTTAGAGAAATGCAAATCAAAACTACAATGAGATACCATCTCACCCCAACATTACTGGCACTAATCAACAAATAGAAAATAACAAATGCTGGAGAAGTTGGGGGGAGATTGGAACTCTCATGCACTGCTGATGGGAATGAAAAATGGTACAACCATTTTGGAAAATGATATGGTTCTTCCTTAAAATGCTAGAAATATGTTGACTACTCTGGCAGGAATCACAATAGATGGTCCCGAACAGAGAGAGAGAAAAATGTAGAACAAAATTCAAATTCAAAAAACAAAAAAAATCAGTCTTGCTTGTCTGGCAGAGACTGGAGAAACCCAAGAGTATGGCCTCTGGACACCCTTTTAACTCAATACTGAAGTCACTCCTGAGGTTCACCTTTCAGCCAAAGATTAGACACGTCTATAGGGCCAGCAATAACACACGAGGCAAAAAAAGAATAGACTGGTTGACCATCCAAGAAGCTCAACGAACACCATATAGGATACATCCCAAAAGAATATCACCAAGGCATATCATAATCACACTCGCTAAAACCAAAGAAAACAAAAATCCTGAGAGCAGCTCAAGAAAAACAAAAAGTCACATACAAAAGAGAAACAATAAGACTAAGCTCGGATTATTCAGCAGAAACCATGGAGGCAAGAAGGCAATGGGATGGGATTTTTGACATATATAAAACTTTGAAAGAAAAAAATTGCCAGACAAGAATAATATATCCTGCAAAACTCTCGTTCAGATAGGATGGTGAAATTAGGTCATTTCTAGATGAATAGAAATTAAAGGACGATGTAAAAACCAAACCAAACTTACAAGACTTATTAAAGGGAGTCCTTCGATCTGAGAACAAACTAGCATCAGACCACAGGCTGAATCTAGGACACAGGATTGTACCAGCCAGATACGAACCTAAGAAATGAACTCTTAAGGACTATCCAAAACCAAAAGAATTACAACAGAGAACTAGAGAGGTTAATTTGTAAATGAAAACAGCATCACAACAATAAAACAGGGAATAAATGACGCAGGTATAGAACCTTCTAATGGAGAGAAAGGCAAGGCAATGACAAGTAATAATAGACTGCTTCAAACTTAGAAAGATAAGGGTAAATTTCAAGGTAACCACAAAGAAAGTTAACAAACCTACTCATAAAAATAAAGAGGAAAAGCATAAAGTCTCAGTAAAAACAAAACCTACAAAAACAAAAGAAATGAAGAAAAAATCCACAAAAAAAAGGAATTCAGCACAGGAGAGTAAAAGGAAGAAAGAAAACATCAACACCACAAAAAAAAGCACTACAAAATGACAGCACTAAACTCACACCTATCAATAATTACACTGAATGTAAATGGCCTCAATGCACCCATAAAGAGACGGAGAGTGACAGAATGG